CTCAGGTTAAACTTTCCATCCCAATGCCAGACCACAAACAGCAGAGCGCCCCAGAAGTTTCCTGGAAATTGGGCAACACTGAGATGACCTTAAATCAGTGTTGCCTTGGAGATGGCTGCAGTGTGTTGGAATCAGCCCCGGAGCCGCGTGTCTGTCCCCGCTGACCTTGCCAAAGGGAAGGGCAAGGTCAGGAGGCCTTGGAAGAACCAATTCTGTGTGGCATATTGGTTTGGGAAAATATGTTTACACATTAAACCTCTTCATCTTTGGGTGTCTCCATTTGCCAACTACATGATCTCCTCTTTTGAATCATGGCATCGTCTCTTTGGTTCTCAGAGAAGGTTTATATTATGTGTGATGGCAAGGGCGGTTGTGATTAAAAAGTCGAGGTGTTGGACAGACCTAAGTCTCTGTATCTTCGAGTTAGCTGTTAGCAAGGTGATCAAATGCCAAAGAGAGAATTTGGTTTGCCTTTCTTTCGTGCCAACCCAAGGCTCGTGTCCTCCTCTCTTTGGTCCTTCCACACCATTAAAACAAGACTGGGTCTCAGCACAAAGACACTGCACTTGAATCTGAAGCTTTACTTCCATCACTGCTGCATCAGATGAAACCTTAGAAATCTCAGAGACCTTAGAAATCTGTAACCTGGCATCTAAGATCCTTGTTACTTATTCTTAAGGAACAAAGAACCTGCTGTTGCGTAGGTGGTAAAGAACACCCAAACTCCTCAAACATCATTTTTACTCTAAGGGAAACACTTGTCAGACTCCAGTCGTTTCAGATAGGATTCCTGAAAAAGACATTTCTTTCATTCTTCTCTCCCTACAGGCATAAACATTCTGCATTTTACACTTGAGACATACAATGTTATCTACTTCTGGTGTCTTATGTAACTTTTTAGGAATGCTAGGAGACTTTCCGGGCTCCGTGAGGTTGGGAATGGGGAATGGAGAGAAAGGCGTTGGAGGTATGGAGGGGGGTGGGGTGGAGAATGGGGAGGAGAAGAAAAATCCACTGTTTCCATACATCAACTGAGTTGGCTGTTTGTGACAAGAAGTTATTGCAATTAAGATACAAGCCGGATGTGTGGGCTAAACAATTTCAGCTGATATCACAGGCATTTATTGATAATGAAAACTCAGAGGAAGGGAGCTGGAAAACGGTTGTCTTTAGCGGTTTCCTAGGCAAAGGGACAAACCATACGGGTTAATCAAAAATTACCGCATCTTATCTAGGAGAAAAGAAAACTGTTTATTTTACTGCAAAAGGAATGTTTCTGTCAAGTTTTAACGTCAACCTTTCGGGTTAGGGCTTTACATTGTACACTCTGCCACACAGGCACATTGTTTTGCTTCAAACAATCATTTTGGAGTTGCCGGATGACCTGGCAAATGGCCCTAGCTATAAGAATAAGGGATAAACATTCAGAGGAGATCACATCCAGAATACCTTGATTGTGTGGGCCACCTAAACCCGATTAAACCTGAATTTGTCTATCAGGAGAATAAGTAAATACTCCCTCTATACCTAATGAACTAAAATGGATTTTGTTTGAAATTATGCTATTTTCTTTTTCTTAAAAAATGTTTTTGAAATGTCTTATTTATTTGTGAGAAAGAGAGTGCACGGGAGAGGGACAGAGAGAGAGAGAGAGAGAGAGGAGACACAGAATCCAAAGCAGGCTCCAGGCTCCGAGCTGTCAGCACAGAGCCCGATGTGAGGCTCAAACCCACGGACCCTGAGAACATGACCTGAGCCAAAGTCGGTTACCCAACCGACTGAGCCACCCAGGCACCCCTGAAATCATATTATTTTCAAGCAAGACGTTATCGGGGAAAAAACAAAAACAAAAACAAAAACAAAAACAAAATCAAACAAAAAAACAAAAAAATAAAAATAAAAATAAAGTCCTGAAATATTCTTTGGAAATGCAGTGGTAAGTTAATGAAAATAATTAGTAAATATCAGAACTCTTGAGAGAGACTACTTTAAAAGTAAAATATAAGAATAGAGCACTTTAGATAAATGCTAAGGAGAGAGTAAAAAAATCTGGAAATATTGCTAACATATCCAGGGAAATGCAAAGACAGTATAAAGAAAAGGCATGAAGTTTTCCAGAGAGTAACACTTCAAGATCCTTTACTAAAAAACTAAATGGTGCATATGAAATGAGCCTTCATAATTAGTCACCACACCTTCATTGCCCTCCTAAAAAAGGCACTTTGAAAATGACCTCATTTCCTGTTTCTCTTGGATGAACACATTAATTAGCATGTTCATTTTCTTATCCTCCGTCGCATGACTAAGAAAGTCAGGTCACTTATCACCAATAAAACAAAAATTGGAAAAAAAAAGAAAAAAAAAGAAAAAAGAAGAAGAAAGAAAAGAAAACAAAAATTGGATACAGATGGTTCCCCAAAGCATATCTACATGAAAAAGATTGGCCTGCTAGGTTACTGAATGATACGAATGGGGTAATATCTCTTTTGGGTTTTTATCAAGCTCAAAATCGCTCAAGCCCAGTCTGCATCAGTTCACAGACTTTCCAGAAATCACTCAGGTAAGTTGTTTGAGTTGGAACACACCTGAGATTATAATAAGGACTTAGGTTGCTTCTGGAAGACCTTCTAATAAAAGCTGAGTGCCAGAGAATTCGGATGAGCCGTCCCGGCTTTCAATATTTAGATAACGTTAGTGTCCGTTCTAGTTGGAAAGTGGCCTGTGTTGAATTTATCTATATCATAGACCATTACGGTGCCCTCATGGAAGATAGACTGTCTGGCTATCAGAAACTAGTAGTAAGGCTCTGCTGGTCTCTGCAGAACTTTTTCTAGGAAAGCAGAGAAGACCCAGTAGGACCCAGTAGTAGAGGACCTGTTCTTTGTGAAGCATGGAACGATCCATCCTGTGGCCCGGCTTTCCCTCTCTCCATGAACACGTTCTAATCGGGCAACCAGAAATAGTATTCCATCTGGACCCAGGTGACAGATATGTTGGTGAAACAGATGCATACGAAGAAATTAACTTCCTTAGATATGAAGAGATTCATGTGCGTTGTAGACCAATCGAAAGAGCCAGAACTGGGGCACCAAGACTTAAAGCAGCTGCATTCTGAGGAGGCTCTGTTTCCCTGGCAACAGCAGCTCTGTAGACGCGAACCTTGAATTTCTTTTAATGTTGTAGAGAAGAACACCTAAGCGACCATAGGTGGGGTTTTATCCAGGTGTGTTTACAAAATCTTCCTGGAGTTTCCCTTACCGGGGGAGAAAGAGGAGATTTGTAAAATTTTCCAGATACGGGCTGAAAAAGCTTAGAGGCTCTTATTCCACGTGTGTCTATTCCGTTGTTTCTAGAGTATCTTTGAGGGTTGATATAGATGTTTCAAGACCCAAATTAACCATTTCGTGGGCCAACCCATTCATCATTTATGTGTGTGTGTGTGTGTGTGTGTGTGTGTGTGTGTGTGTATGTGATCATACTCTTAGGGAAACTGAGGGGAGGAAAGATTTGGTAGCTGTCAATATCTTACATCATCGCATGCACTTAATACAATTTCCCGAAAAGAAACGAATGTCAATAAAGCACTGCTCCTCAATTCTTCCCGCTCACCTCACTCCTCATTGAGCAAGGACCACTACTCAGAATTACACTCCTCCTACATGGTTTACTTGCCTTCCTTAACCCCTAGTTTGGGCAAATGTGTCATCTTGACTTTAATTTATTCTCTACAGGGTTCATTATACCTGTGGTTGCTTTTCTATAGCATCACAGGGGATCAGAATTGCAAGCATGATCTTACCAAGGAAAGGGAGCCATATTTATCAACTTTCATTTGAAGCAAGGTCTCTCTCACACCTAAGTCTGATCCTCTGGAGTGGTACAGAATTAGTCTGCTTTCTTTTTTTTTCTCCCCTGTGTTTTGCACGGAGAGCAGTTTTAGGTGTAAAGAAAAATGGAACAGATAGTACAGATAATTTGCATACCTCCCCTCCTGCATTCATTTCTCCCTATGACCAACATCTTGTATTATTGTGATACTTTTGTTATAAGTGATAAGCCGGTATTGATACAGTAAAATTAGGTAAAGTCTGCTGTTTTAGGGGTGCTCTTGATGTTGTGCAATATATGGGTTTTGACAAATGCATAATGATGCATATCCGCCATTCTAATATCACATAGAATCATTTCACTGCTCTAACACTCCTCCACATTCCAACTATTCATCTCGCTCTCCCTGCCCCAGTCCCTGGCAACCACCCATCTTTCCCTGTCTCTACCATTTTTCTTCTTCAGAATGTCCCATTGTCCTAAACATACAGCATGTAGCCTTTTGAGATTGGCTTCTCTCACTTAGCAATATGTGTTTAAAGTTCCCCCCACATCTTTTCATGGCTTGACCCCTCATTTCTTTTAACTGCTGAATAATATTCCATTGTATGGATGTAACACGGTTTATTTATCCACTTACCTGTTGACAGATGTCTTGATTGTTTCCAGTTTCTAGCAGCTATGAAGAAACTACTCTCAACATGTGAGCGTGGGTTTTTAAGTGGATGTAAGTTTTCAATTCATTTGGGTAAATACCTAGAGGTATGATTGCTGGATCGTAGCGTAAGACTATGTTTAGTTTGGTAAGACATTGCCAAACTGTCCTCTATGTAAAAAAAAAAATTTTTTAATCTTTATTTTTGTGAGAGAGAGAGAGTGAGCAGGGGAGGGGAAGACAGAGAGGGAGACACAGAATCTGGAACAGGCTCCACACTCTAAGCTGTCAACACAGAGCCTGACGCGGGGCTTAAACTCATAGACAGTGGGAGATCATGACCTGAGCCAAAGTCAGACGCTTAACTGACTGAGCCACCCAGGTGCCCCCAAACTGTCTTTTAAAGTGGCTCTGTGAGAAGGAAATATTCTGAAACTATTTTTGGAAGGAGCAAAAAGGTGCACACACACACACACACACACACACACACACACACGTATTTTCAAAGTAAGCTCATTGCCCAACATGGGGCTTGAACTCACGACCCTGAGATCAAGAGTTGCATGCTCTACCAACTGAGCCAGCCAGGCACACCGCAAGAAGACGTATATTGCATGAAATTCATTTGCCATTTGTATATTGCAAGATATTGAAAATAAACTAAGTAATAGAAAAGAGTCTATGATTTCTTTCTTATATTAAAGGGAAACCCAATACTATTTACACATGATGAAGACACAAATACATCTTATTTTAGTTTATTACATAACTCTCAATGTAATTAACCAATTCCATTGTATATCTAACCCTAGAACAGTGCCTGGCATATAGTGTGCCAATGATGAGGCCCTCGATTTGCAAACATTATTCTGGTCTTTGCCTTTATCCCTTCCTGAGTCTCAAAGTCCTGCAGCCTCAAATAACCCCCCCTGCCCAGAGCCCTTGTCATTGTCATGGCCATCTGCACCCTCTGCCAAAGAGCCAGAGGAACCACAAGGGTGCGGGCCATGCATTCTGCATGCGTTTTCTATTGCTGGGCTGGATCTATGTCCTTGACCTGTGGCAAAATCATTCATGTGGCTGATTCCATTGTTGCCGTGAGAATCAGGCTTTTGTGTTGTCATGGTAGATAGCAGCAGCCACTGCTTTCCCCAGCCACCCAAATACCGTCCTACCCCTCTCTCTACAATAAGTGATTCATATGTCCTGGAAACAGAATGTCCTCTCTTCCCTCCATCTTGCCTTCTTTCCTTAATGTACTGAGGGTGACATTGCAGGGTGATAGACATAAATAAGACACTGCTCTGTCTAGAGAAGCCGAGCTTCAGAGAGAGGGGTAAACATGTAATTGGAAAAGTGTAGGGCCATGCGTTAAGTAAGATATCCGTTCAGAATGCTCCCAGACCGCAGAGAGGTGCTGGAAGTTCCTCTAGGGTGTCATGGGGGTGGGGGGTGTGAGGTTTCGGCTAAGCGTTGAAGCGTGAGTAGGAGTCTGTTTAAAACAGATGGGGATGTGGAGGGTAAGATCGAATGAGAAGCGAGTCCTACTGATTAACATATCTCTGCAGAAGAAGTTAAAAAAAAAAAAAAAGCATCTGGCTAGAAAGAGGTAGTGGTGTGGAGGAAGCAAAGAACATCTAGGAACATTTTCACAAACCTTCCCAAAGCAGGAGAGGCCCAGCACGGCCAGAGGCCCCTGAGACCGGGCAAGGTGCCTGCTGGTACCTCCCGGTGCCTGGAGATGTGCATTTGTTCATGTGTGAGGGTCACCTAGTCTCCGATTTTGCACGAGACAAGCCCTGCTATCTGGGAAGCCAAAGCCTTAGTGTTCTGCATAGCTCAGAATATGGAGTGTCACGATCACTTGCTGGGAATCAAAACTGAAAAGTGAGTACCCTTCGTTCTTCAGATGGAAGAACCAAATCAGTGCTTGGCATTCCTGGACCAGCAGCATCAACATCAGCGGGAACTTGCCAGAAACGCAAATGTCCGGGCCCCACTCCAGATCTTCTGAATCAGAGCCTCTGGAGGTGGGGCCCAGAAATCTATGTTTTAACAAGTTCTCCAGGGAATTCTGACGCTGGCTGACATTTGGGAACCGCTGCTTTAGACAACTGGAGTTGTCCATGAGAGGAAGACTGAAATTTTAATCAAGCCTTTGTTTCTAGCATTAATAAGCCAGCTTCCAGTGAGAGAACAAACCTCATACAACTCTAAGGATGGGCCAGTGTTAGGATTTTAGCACAACTGGCCCTGAGTAATAGAGTGAAACTGATCTAATCCGATGCTTCACTTTCTGGAGATGGAGCAAATCTTCTGGATCTGGGCAAAAGAATAGAACGCTTCATAAAGATTACTGAACTATAAAAATTACGGTGTTTTATTGACGCACGTTGACAGTTCAGTTGTAAATGTTTATAGCACTTCATAAAGCATGTGAGAAAATACATCCATCCACGTGAAAGACATAGCAGTAATCGAGGTTTGAGCAGCATTGGCCGGGGCTGGGGGGCCCTCTGTAATAAAGCCAGAGAAAGGGGGCTAAGGGCCAAGCCGTATTGATAAATATTTACAAGCAAGTCACTGAAAAGTGAGAGAGGTTCTATTCTAGTCAAAAGGCAACAGGTCATTCTTGAATAGTGGCCTCTGAAACTGGAAACAAATTTGTTGCTGAAATACAAATTGGAGGAAATTGCTTTTGTGGGAAAACATTTCCTCTCCTCAGTGGGTTTCTCTTTTGTGTTCTGCCTGTTCTGATCGTGGAATTTCAGAGGCAACTGGGACCTCCTGATAGGGGCTTGGCTTCTGTTCCGAGCTCCCCGTCTCCGCGCCCCCCCCCCACAGTGGCCTTAGGCAAGGTGCCTTCTCACCGCGTCTGCTTTTTCTCATCAGAGATGGTTACCTTATCACCTAACTGCCCGTCAAATGCTGCAAGAACTCCAGATGATTGTTTCTAAATACAGAGCCTAAAATAAAATAAAATAAAATAAAATAAAATAGCTCAAGGAGCTCACGGCAGTCATCCCAATTTTCTTCTTCTCCCTGCACTGTGAGTTCCTAAGTCTGAAGATTTTAAATCATGGCCCAGAGTTTGATTCTGTCAGGAAATCTTCGACATGGAAAGGAGTTTGTGCCTCTGAAAAACGTGAACAACAGGAAACCAGGACAGTTATCTTTTTCTTCAAATAATGATAATTGTCAAACCGTGGTATCATGCACGGACTTTTTTTTTAAAGTGCCTCCCGAGTCCACCTCCTTGAAGTCATTGTTCAGAGGTCATTTGAGCGGAGAGCTTACAGAGTGATATCAAAGGGTGAGGGGGATGGAAATGGGGGTGCCGCTCTTTCCCATGTGCGGTTAGGCGGGGAGCTCAGATGAGAAAGGAGAATACAGACCTCGCTGGTGTGGGAGAAGGCGCGACCACATAGGGACAAGTATTAAGTTGAATTTCGCCAACTCTTCAAAAGACACCCTTAGAAGAAAAGACAGCTTGGAATGAGAGAAGCTATTTGTAAGGCGTATCTAAGGAAGGGTATCTAGCATCCCGCGTATATTAAGAACTCCTACACGGCGACACTAAAAAAGACAGATAACCAAATTCAAGATGGCAGAAGACCGAAATGGACACTTGACCAAAGGAGATACTTGAATGGTCAATTAGCATATTCAAAAAGTGCTCAAAACCAATAGTTGTCAGGACGATGGCAGTTACAACTGCAATGAGATGGTACTATATGTCTACCAGAATGGTTAAATTTAAAATGTTTGCTTATTTATTTTGAGAGAGAGAGAGAGAGAGAGAGAGAGAGAGAGCGCTCAAGCAGGGGAGGGGCAGAGAGAGAGAGGGAGACAGAGAATCCCACGCAGGTTCTGCGCTAAGGATTTAAGAGAAGTAAGAATCTATGTCCACAAAAAGGCTTGTACAAAAATGTTCATGGCAACTGTATTCATAGTAGTTTTAAATTGGAAACAGCACAGGTGTCTACCAGTAGGATAATAAGCAAATAAATGGCAGTGTATTCACGTAATGAAACGAATTCATATAGTTTATGTAATGTTCAGCAAGAAGGGGCAAACTACGAAACACATGGCGCTGTGGATGGGTCTCAAAAACAGGCTGAATAAATGAAACATTACAGAAAAACATACATGATAAGCGATTCCTTTATATGAAGTTCCGAAACAGGCACACAGATCTATGTTGGAAAGAAATCTAAATGGTGGTCGCCTCTGGGAGGCTATGCATGTGTATTTACTGGGAAGGGACAGGTGGAAAGTTTCTAGAGTGATGGTAATATTCTGCCTTAGTCAGTTCACGCTGCTGAAACAAAAATATCACAGACTGGTTGGCTTCAACAACTGTGAAATAATAAAAACTCAACCAAGTAAATTTGAAGATCTAATTGGCTTTGTTAAGTGATCGTGAATCAGGCTGCATCCCATCTGGCAAGTAGTGAGATGCTCCAAGGAATTGTACAAGATGGGCAGTTTTTTTTTTTCTCCCAGAAAGAAGGTAAGACAATAAGTTATTAGCAAAAGAAAAGAAAAGGTTATTTCAGGCAAGGTCACCTTCTCTTAGGGAGAAGGGAAGATGTTCTGATTAGATGGATTGCCTTTTCTTCCTTTGGGGGTTGGAGAGAACCCATGTGACAGATTACCTCATTGGTACTGACCTGAAAATTCAAGATTGGTTGGTTTAAAATTCTACTGTTGGAGAAGTTGAAACTGCAATTAAGTCCTGGCTTACTCCACCTTGGGCTTTGTGGTTTTCTTTTTTAACAGTTACTTCTTGTAGTTCTGGAAGCTGGGAAGTCCAAGATCAAGGCCCTGGCTGATCTGGTACCAGGGAAAGGCAGATTCCTGGCTTGTAGACAGCCACTTTCTTGTGTTTCCACATGGATGAGACAGATTATTTCCCTCGTGCGTCTTCTTTTAAGGAAACCGATCCCATTGATGGAGGGCTGTGCCTTCCTAGTGTAATTACCTCCCAAAGGTGCCTGCCTCCAAATACCAACACATTGGGGATTAGGCTTCAAAATACTAATTTGGGGGGAACACAAACTTTCAGTCCATGGCATATTTTGCATCTCGATAGGAGCTCAGATTGCACAGGGTCTATAGACATTTGTCAAGTTGGTGAATGTGTGCTTAAGATCTATCCATTCCATGTATGTAAATTTACCTCTAACGGGAGGAAAACATCGTAAGAAAATATTGAGAAAAAATGTGTGTGTGTATGAGTGACCCAGGAGATTTGCAAGAAAAAACAACAACAACAAAAAAACATATATATGTATTCCTGGATCCTATCTCCATATATTCTGATGGTGGAGCTCAGGAAACAGTATTTTCTAGACACATTTAGACACATCTAGACACATCTAGACACATCTAGACACATCTAGACACTAGAATGATCATGAGCGGTGGCTCTGAGATGTGTACTGAGAACCAATTTCCATGCCTCATGGTAGATTGAAATGTGAAATGATCTCCTGGCCATTTCCACTGCTTCTCAATCCAACTCAAAAGGGTTAATGACTAAGAAAAGGATTCGTGACTAAGATGGTTAATGACTCAGTAAACTTTG